TGGTGTGATGTAGCACCTATGGATGCATGTCACATATTACTTGCTAGACCATGGCTTTATGATCATGATATGGTGCATAAAACTAGGTCAAACACTTATTCTTTTGTTAAGGATGGTATTAATATAATACTTCATCCTATGAAGCAACTTCCTACACCCAAATCCACTAAAGAGGAGGGTTCAAAGTTGCTTAATGTTCAAAAATTAAAAGGGCACAACAAGGATATGGATGTGATTTATGTATTGGTTGTAAAAAAAAATTCTGCATCGATTGCAATTCTTAGGTCTCTTGAACCTCTACCTAATAAGTATAAAGATTTGATGCTTAAAGAATTACCCGATGGTTTTCTTGCAATAAAAAATATTCAGCATCACATTGACTTGGTGCCTGGATCTAGCCTACCAAATTTGGCCCATTATCGAATGAGCCCCATAGAACATGAGGAGTTGCACAGACAAGTTGTTGTTTTGCTTAAGAAGTGATAGCTTCGAGAAAGCATGTCACCATATGTCGTCTCTGCATTACTGACTCCAAAAAAGATGGGTCATGGAGGATATGCGTGGACAGTAGGGCAATCAACAAAATCACAATTAAGTATCGATTTATCATACCTAGACTCGATGATATATTAGATATGCTTAATAGAGCCAAGGTTTTATCAAAGATTTATTTAAGGAGTGGGTACCATCAAATTCGGATTCGTCCTGGAGATGAATGGAAAACCGCATTCAAAACTCGAGATGGACTATATGAGTTGCTTGTGATGTTATTCGGCCTTTCTAATGCACCAAGTATATTCATGCGCCTAATGACTGAGGTACTTAGTCATTTTATTAGCAAATTTGTTGTAGTTTATTTTGATGATATATTGGTTTTTAGCGCTAACCCACATGATCATCTTAACCACTTGGAACAAGTTTTTGATGTGCTAAGGAAGGAATCTCTTATTGTGAATTTGAAAAAAATGCTCATTTATTACATACAATGTCGTCTTTCTGGGGTATGTTGTTTCATCTGAGGGAATTAAGGTGGATTAAGAAAAAGTGACAGCCATAGCTGAGTGGCCGGTGCCAAAGTCACTCACTGAGGTGTATTCTATTCATGGCCTAGCAACCTTTATCGTCGATTTATCAAAAATTTCAGCACTCTAATAGCACCAGTGACTGATTGTTTGACGGCTGGAAAGTTTTCATGGAGTCTCGCTGCTAAAAAGAGCTTCACTCTAATTAAACAAAAAATGATGCAAGTACTAGTACTTGCCTTACCAAATTTTTCTAAGGTGTTTGAGATTGAAACGGATGCATCAAATGTTGGCATAGGGGCAGTTCTAAGTCAAGAGGGACGACCATTGGCTTTTTTTAGTGAGAAATTGAATGATGTATGTAAGAAGTATTAGGTTTATGACCTCGAGTTTTATGCAGTGGTGCAAGCCTTATGCTACTGAGGCACTACCTGATTCATAAAGAGTTTGTTCTATACTCAGATCATGAAGCACTCCGGTATTTGAGTTCTTATAAAAAGTTGAATGCGCGACATGCTAAGTGGATGACCATCCTTCAAGAATACACCTTCCTATTAAAGCACAAAGCTGGAACCCAAAATAAGGCAGCTGATGCTTTAAGTAGAAGGGTAGTGACTTTGTCTATGGAAGTGTTGGGTTTGAAGTGATAAAAGATCAATATAAAGTTGATCCAATTTTTAGCAAGGTATTTGAAAGGTGTGTTGAAGCGCATGGGAACCAAACTTCAATTTTCTAGTGCATATCATCTTCAAACAGATGGGCAGGCCGAAGTAGTGAATAGGAGCATTGGTAACCTCTTAAGGAGTATTGTTAGTGATAACATATCTCAGTGGGACCTCATTTTGCCTCAGGCTGAGTTTGCTTACAACAGTTCAATAAATTGATATACAGGAAAATCACCATTTGAGATTGTTAATGGGCGGACACCTAATTATGTGTTCGACCTAGTGCCATTACCCATGCCAGATAAGATGAGTGAAGATGTCAATGCGTTTACTGAGCATATTCGAGATTTGCAAGCCCAAATCAAGAAGAAAATTGAGGAGAGCAATGCAAAGTATCAAAAAGCCTCAAATGAGCATAGAAGAGAGAAGATTTTCAAGGAGAGTGACTTAGTAATTGTGTATTTAGGAAATGAAAGGTTTTCGTTAGGAACCTATAATAAACTCAAGTCCAAGATAGTGGGTCCTTGCCCCATCTTAAAGCACTATGAGAACAATGCATAAAATGTAGAATTACCAAAGGCATTGGATATCTCCCTGACTTATTTGAGTTTCATGGAGACCCTCTAGAAGTCGCAAAAGATGTAGTTGATATGATGAATAAATTACCAAGGAAGAAAGAGGATGAAATTGAGCAAGTTTTGAAGACTGAAAGCTTTCAAACTCGAAAGGGTTCCTATCGCCAATTTCTAATCAAATAGAAGGGCAGGGTCATACTTTGATAGCACGTGGATTTCTGAGCCAGAGTTCAAAAGAGTGGATCCAGACTTATATCGCATATATACTGGAGCCAACTCGCCGGAGTCAAGTTACTTTCAACTGGGGGAATGATACAGTCATGCCCCTTCGTGACTGAGCCAAAGATGGGTCGCAGAACCCAAGAGGGAAAGAAATGGCAATGACGTAATAAGAAAAAATTATTAGAGTTATTTATTGGGATTATTTTAATTATTCTTTTTTTTTGGAGTGCGCAGAGATAATTAGCAGGGCGACTTTAGAGTTTATATTGTGTTTATCTTGTATCGATTGAGTTAGTTTGATAGATATGAATATCATAAGCGTAAATTTAGAAGATAATTTATCTTTATCAACAATAACCAACTTTGGAGGGTTTTTTTTGGGTAAAACATGAGAGGGAACACGTGAGTATCTAGAAGCCCATAAATATGAGAGAAAGAAAATAGGGATAGGTGTAGAGAGAAACTTTTTGTTAGTTATCTTATTTTAGTCTATTTAAAGAACATCTCATTCCATTGTAAATCACTCTATGAATTGAATAAAAATTTGTCTCTTGAAAGATATTGTTTTGGGGGTGGATTCCCTTGCGGACATTTGAGCGATGATATTTTTCTTTTAACCTTCCTCTTTTTTATTGTCAATTTTCTAGTTTTATTCTCTCCTTGCATCATCGTGAATGTAGGGAAGCTCTTCTTGGTGAATGCAAAGTGAAACTGGTGAAGGCAAAGTGAAACTGAATTCTAAACTTCACGAAGTCAGTTCAACTGTTCTGATTCCCATTATGCTTTTTCCAATTCTTAAGCATAGTAAAAATTTTGAAAACAGGTCCTAAAAAGGTTGTAAATCAAAACATCAATTGTCAAAATAATTAGGAATTCAACTCAGTGGAAACCACCGGGAGACATCCCCAATGCATTTGCTAGAAACTCGAGTATGAACACCAAGAGCCATTCCCAGCATTTATCAATCTATTGAGCCCCTTAGTGAAGTTCGAACCATATGCAAGCATGTCAACAATAGGAAACTAGTATTTGAGTTAGAGATTTTCAAAAAGGCACTTCAATTGGGCTTCACAATGACACAGTGGCATGTCAATCCATTGTCTTTGAAGCATTAAACGCCCTCGTCTTGGGAACTCCAAGGTGCATGAGTCTTGACAAGTATATCCCTAAGATAACACTGGTTAACTGAGTTGCATTCTCAAGAGAAACTTCGGATGTCTTTCTAACTTGCCACAAGTTAATTTATATTCTCAGCACAATTTTGAACGTGTTACTGTAGAAGACATTGAAAACCCAGATAGAAATCAATATAACTTAGTAGACTGTTTAGAAAAATTGCAAAACTGTGATCAAAGTTCATGGAACTATGTAGGTGATACATGGTTGAAAGAGAGGGGGACCGACAACATGGCCAACTCAAACTTTGTCAGATAGTCAATGCGGTTTGAGGACTCGTCAATCAATGAGTGACAACCACACAGGTCATGGCATAGGAATTGGGCTGTGGAATAAGAATTGGGCCCGTGCTTGAGTGGTTAGCAGTTGATGTTCTCAAATTCGATTCCCACTCTACTCTAACTATCGATTCCCACTCTACTCTAACTATCCAAAAAAACAATAAGAGATTATGATGTAATGATCTATTAGTGCTTGAATAGCAAGACCAAGGCAAAAAACTGTCATATCATGGTGTAAAATTGTGAGAATTGTTTTGGCTTAGATTAGTTAGAAAATGTTTTGAAATCATTCTCAGAGTCGAGCACTATTGCATTGCTCAAAGCAAGTTCTACAAGTTAATTCAGGCAATCAATCTTGCGTGTAGATCAAACACTCTAAGATCCGATACATATATGCTCCTAAAACTAAAATCCAATCTTGGAATTTAATACACTCCTTGCTATAAGTTTAAAGCATGCATTGTTCTAAGGAGTTCTACAAGCTAATCCAGTAGATCAATTCTGCATGTTGATCAAAATTGAAGATCCGATACAAATACGCTGCCAAAACTGAAAACCCAAATTCTATGAAAATGGGCTTTAAACACAATTAAAGTTGAACAACTAAATATATCCAGCCTTCATATATTGCTGCATACATAAAGATAAAAACTCTTTAAGGCTTTATAATCCCCAACATGTATTGACAGACAGGCTTATAGAGAGTGGACAACATGGTCTAAAAAAAGGGTATTTTGGTAAAAAAAACAACCCTACTTTTTTTACCTTGGGGGTTAGTTGCAAATATAAATCTTTTCGGGTTAGGATTGTGATTTACAAAGTAGTCGAAGGGGTGGCATGCCTATCATTAGAGGCAACGGGGATTTTTAAAAATTGTACCATAAAAATATGCCTCTCAGATGATACATATCAAAACAGGATCCAAGCCCAGTAAACACACAAGAAGAAAATGATCTCCTATTGTTTGCTTTAATTTTTCTTTTAGAGAAACCAAAAGTTAAATTGTTACATAAAGTAAAATTTTATTATAGAGAGAGGTGAAAGATTGAGAGAGGATCATGCACGTCAAAATTGAAACTTCTTATTAAATGACACAATTGCATAATGAAGTATATATAGCCCAACAGGCAGTCCAAACTGAAACAACTAAAGATTGCATGAGAAAAGAACAATGCCAGAACACATGCTGGAGCATCCACTCCTCCCATCCAATGTGCTGAAAAGAACTTTATTTCTGATCTTTCCAAATAAACTTCTATAGCGTTTTTGAGCTATGTCAAAAGTTGATCTTGGTCACGAATTAATGGTTAGACATGAACTATGAGGGAATACTAAACTCCCCGGTTTTTGCAGCCATATAAAAGAAGCTGCTTTTTTCTTCAAACTCCCCTTCCCTTGCCTTTTCTGTTCTTTCTACTCGGTTTCTTCCCTAATCTGTGCTTGCCTTTTCTGTTCTTTCTACTCGGTTTCTTCCCTAATCTGTGCTGTCCACTACTATTCTCTCTTGCTTTGTGGCCTTCAATCTGATCCATGCCAGAACTAAAGATTGCATGAGAAAAGAACAATGCCAGAACACATGCTGGAGGATCCACTCCTCCCATCCAATGTGCTGAAAAGAACTTTATTTCCGATCTTTCCAAATAAATTGAATAAACTGATAATACTTCTGTAGTGTTTTTGAGCTATGTCAAAAGTTGATCTTGGTCACGAAGTAATGGTTTAGACATGAACTATGAGGGAATAGTAAACTCCCCAGTTTTTGCAGCCATATAAACGAAGCTGCTTTTTTCTTCGAACTCCCCTTCCCTTGCCTTTTCTGTTCTTTCTACTAGGTTGTTTCCCTAATCTGTGCTGTCCACTACTATTCTCTCTTGCTCTGTGGCCTTCAATCTGATCCATGCTTACACCCATGTCCGCTTTCTAATTAGGAACTGAGTGTTTTTAGAATCAAAATGACTCCAAAGAATCAAATCATTCATAAAAATAGGCCCAACTGGATTATCATCACACTGATATCATCCACTGATCCTCTGCTTAAAGATAAATCCACAAGCTTTTTACAGGCTGATAGTGGAGATGGCTTATCAGTAGTCGCACAAAGGGGTCGAGCTAAGTCTATCGCCTCCTGGTTACCGACCTGAAAGAGAAAACAACACAGAGGTTAGATTCCCAAATCAAAATAAAAATTGGAATATCTCTAAAAACACAGCGGACAGCACATCAACAAATAATGAAATTGCTTCAATTGCAGTGCATACCTTATCCCACAGCCCATCTGAACCTAAGATCAAGAATTCGCATTCAGGGGTTATCCTTAGGATCTCTGTCTCTGGTTCTGCAGAGACCCATTGTTTCAAATGCTGATCTCCAATCCCTCGTGACACAGCTAGGCATCCCTGTAACCTCCACACTCCACGGCAGAGATCAACATACCCACCCTGCAAATTTTCCAATTAGACATCAGTTTCAGATATCACTCTAATTGAGAAGGTACCAAAACCCGTGTAATTTATCAGCCACGTAATTGTAATGCAGAATCAAACACATTAAAGTTACAGTAGAGAAAGATTATTGTTCCGAGGTTAATGTAATAAGAAGTGACCAAAACCCATTAAAATTGCAGGAGATTATTGTAGTAGAGAAGGATCAAACCCATTAAATTGTAATGGAAAGATTATAGTAATTACCAAGCTTTCAATTCTTTCTTTCTCGTCTTCTCTTGACGGCCTATGATCAGAGGTGAGGGCTTCAGCAGTTCCACCTCTGCTCATTACAGCACGACAATCGCCAGCATTTGAGACCACCAAATTGCCTTCTCGGAGTAATGCTGTTACACAGCAAGCGCCACCTCGAGCTTTCTCTCTCGAGAATTCTGAATCAGTGACTAAGTATCCATTCTTAACAGCATCACCGATTCCTTCTACACCATCACACTTGGTCACGTGCTCCATTATGTTCTTCCCCATGTTTTCTGCAGCAAACTCTGCTGCTCTTTTTCCTCCGTGGCCATCAAAAACACCCAAGAAAGCCTGAAGTAAAACACCCCAAATCAGTCATAAGATTGCAGGTACAGGAGAGGGAACTAAACTATGAGAATTCATAAATGGCTTTTCATTTAATTGATCCAAATAAGGGAAATCAATAATTTGGTTGTTCTTTTGCTTCGCTTAGGGTCACTCTGAAAATATTCAAATTGTTTTTCATGAATAGTTTTTCATCAATTTTTTCAAAACAGGAAAAACCAAATTGGGTTTTTCTTCTAATTTTGTTTCCAAGAATTGCGTCATCAAATTGACATGGGATTTTTTGATGTTTTTCGATCAATTTATCATCAAATACCAAAATTTGGGATTTTGTTTTCTACTCTCCAAGAACTGAACTCATTCATAAGACTAAATCTAAGTTCATTTTCCTTCCACGGTTGTCTTTCCATATAAATACAAAGAAGAAACACCAAATTAGATTCTTTTTCCAGTCAGTTCGTGCAAATTGATTTCAAAATCCAAAATTTACCCGTACAATTAGGGGTTTTCGGCAATGGATAACTGAAACAAGAGCTATGAAGAAGAAAAAAAAAACTAACCTGTTTCGAATCGCTATAAAGGTCAAGGTTTGCAGCATAACAATCCTCCATCACTGCTCTCCTCCCTCTCTTGCAAAACACAGAAAATCGGTCGCTTTCTGCATGAACCTCCTCAGGTCCCTGCTCAATCGGCTCAAAACGACGAGAAGTACAAGGAGAAGTAGAGGGGATCTTAAGCCTCGCAGGCCTCTTCCTCTTCAAAACCCCCTTAACCCCTTCTTCCCCACCACAAAACCCCAACCCTTCTTCCTCCCAAACCCGGATTCCATTGCTCTTCTGTCGCAGAGAAGGGCTTCCACCTTGGCTCTCCTCTCTGAAACCAACCCCACATCGTAAAGGGGAGCCTGGATAACCAGGCTGAAGGTGATGGTGAATGTTTAGGGTTAGGGTTTCCAATGGAGAACCGGTCTTGAAGACTGGTGAACCTGAAACTACAGCACAAGACATGTTTTTTTCTTGAGAGGAAGTGGGGTTCACGATTTTGCTTATAAAGGGTATGGAGAAGGGGTAAGATGAAGCGACGGAGAAGAGTCGAAGTGCGTGGGGTTATTGCGTGGCGCTCTTAGTTTCAACACGGCGAATCAGTCCACATTTCTTTCCCAAAATTACACTGCAATCGCTTTCTCTCTCCACATTTCTCTTTCAAATCTCTCTTTCTCTGGCTAATTTCTCTCTCTCTATCCTGCCTGCTGTTTCTTCTCGACTCAACCCTAATTTTCTCTCTCTACTTCTGCTCTATTTTAGGCACCCCAGATAAGCCTGCTCGCCTCTCTCTAGAAGATTATCTCTCTAGATTTCGCTTATAGATATCACTAACCAGTAACAACTCCATGCGATTAGAGAGAGAAAAACGTGTTTAATGACTGAGTCCTCTCTCTCTCTCTCTCTCTTAGTTTGGCTCTCTCTTCTCTCTACTTAAGTTGTCTTCGAGGTAGTTACAACTAGTTCGTCCCTT